TTTTTTGGTTTTTCTCTGGTACCGGGAACTGAACTCACAACCTTGCGCTTGCCAGGCAGGCGCTTTGCCGCTGAGCTAAATCCCCAGCCCCCTGTAGTTCTCTTTTTTCTTGGGTTCTTTTCTGGTTTTGGAATCAGGGTAAGGCTAGCTTCTAGGAATGACTTTGGGAGTATTCCTTCCCTTTTAGTTTCATTAAGGAGTTTGAGGAGGTTGGTGTTAGATCTTTTCTAAGTTTCTTGTGGAATTCAGGAGTGAATTCATCAGGATCTGGGTTTTTCTTAGTTGGTACTTTTTATTTTCTTCAGTCTCATTGCCTAATATTCTTCTTGGGCCAGCTTGGTAGTTCATGCGTCCCTAGAAATCTATCCATTTCTTCTGAATTCTACATTTTATTAGAGTACAAGTTCTCAAAGTAGTTACTAATAACCTTCCGGATTTCAGCACAGTCCATTATGATTTCAACTTTTTTGATTTCTAGTTACAATGATTTGGGTCTTCTCTTTCCTTTTTTTGTTAAGATTGTCTAGGGGTTTGGGTGTTTTACTTATTCTTTCAAAGAATCAGCTTTTCAGTTCATTGATTCTTCATAGTTTTGTAGTCCCAATTTCATTGCTCTGGTCTTTATAATTTATTTCTTTGTACTAGCTTTGGATATAAATTGTTCTTGTTTTTCTAGAACCTTGAGGTATATCATTAGGTTACTTATTTGGGTTTTTTTTTTTTTTTTTTTTTAATGTAGGCATTCAGAACTATAAACTTCTCTCTTAGGACTGCTTTTATTGTGTCCCATAGTTTCTAGTCTGTTGTACTGGCATTGTCATTTGACTGTAGGAAATATCTAATTTTTTCCTTGATTTCTTCTGTGGCTCATTGATTATTCAATTGGGTATTGTTTAATTTCCATGTGTTAGCATAATTTTTATGGTTCCTTTTGTCATTTATTTCAAGTTTCATTGCAGTGTGATCTGATAATATGTATTGGGTAATTTTGATTCTTTTGCATTTACTCTTAAGTAATGCTTTATGGGCTAGCATGTGGTCAGTTTTGGAGACAGTCCCATGTGTTACTGAGAGGAATGTGTATTTCATTGTTGTTGGATGGAACACTCAGATATCTATAGGTTTGGTTCAACTGTTCTATTTCTTT